CTATATATATGTATATTATATTACTTAGGCAGAGACAGGACAAAAAGACAAAGACAGAGAAAAAAACAAAGACAGAGAAAACAAACAAAGACAAAAAGACAAAGACACGCAAACAAAGACAAACAAACAAAGACAAAAAAACAAAAAAAAAACAAAGACAAAAAGACAAAGACAAACAAACAAAGACAAAACGACAAAGACAAAAAGACAAAATAAATAAAAAAAACTGAAGCAAAAACGTTTACCTTTATATATTAAATCAAAGCCGCCTATTGTCTTCTCTTCACCCGTCAGACTGCAAACAAATACAAACAACAACCTGCTTCTGCTGCTGCTGCTGTTGCTGCTGCTTCTGCTGCTGCTGCTGCTGCTGCTGCTGCTGCTGCTGCAGGCGCTGCTGATTCTGCTGTAATTAACGAATTGCGTTTGCTGTTGCTGGTGCAGCTGCAGTTACTCTTCTATTACTACAATTATTTTTATTATAATATTATAATAATATTATTATTTTTATTTTATTTATATTATTATTATATTATTATTATATTATTTTTATTATTTCTGCTGCCGCTGCTGCTGCTGCTGCTGCTGCTGCTGCTGCTGCTGACAGGTTCTCCATATCTACGATTGTGAGGAGATCGTTAAGCATATCAAATTTAAATTTATAGTCCTCTTCTGTCGTTGCTGCAAACAAAAACACCAAGCAGCAGCAGCAGCAGCAGCAGCAGCAGCAGCAGCAGCAAGAGCAGCAGCAGCAGCAGCAACAGCAATAGCAACAGAAGCAGCAGTGCCAGTAGGAGCAACAGCAGGACCAGCAGCAGCAGCGGCAGCAGCAACGCGAAATAGCGGTATATGTGCTGCTGCTGCAGCAAGGCTTCTAGAGGCATTGTGAGGAATCAACAGCTGCTGCTGTTGCTGCTGCTGCTGCTGCTGCTGCAGCAGCAAAAGTGGCAAAAGCAAAACTAGCAGCAAAGCGGAAGACAGAAGAAATAATGTGGGTTGATATCGTAGCTTCAGTTGCTGCTGCTGCTGCTGTAGCGCGTGCTGATGTGTC